GAGAGAGAGAGAGAGAGAGAGAGAGAGAGCGAGAGAGAGAGCGAGAGAGAGAGAGCTTCAAGTGTGTGTTTGGGGTTCATGATACGTATCAGCTTCGTTCGGTGGGAGTCGACATTCATCTAGGGGCTTCCAGGCCCGGAGGATAGGGTCCCCTGTGCGCAAATCGACAGGCCGCAGAAAGAAATAGACGGAAGCACACGCGAATTTCTCGTGTGTGTTTTCTACGTTCCGTAGTTGTGTGGGCCAGGGCCCCAAGGCGCGAGAGGCTTTTCAAGTGAATTTCAATCTTGGTTTTTCATCGCACCCCAGTGCCATAACCGCGAGGGGTGCAAACCGTCGCACCCGATACGAAAATGAATGTTATCTCCTACCGCCCTACCTAGCCCTTTCCAACGCGCACCCCATGGTACGATAACTCTGACGGGTGCGATCTCGAATGAAGTACAGCGGGCCTATCCACGATGCTGTACATAGGCCCCGGGGCGATTTACCCCCGTGGCTGTCATGCTGAAAACACTGGGGCTTCTGTCCGATACTAGATGTGCGGTACAGTATCCGAGCACAGCCTACGTCGTCGATACACAACGCCTTGTTGTTGTGCTTCCGTGCTGGGGACCAGTCTGGCGCGTCTTTGTGGGGATACCTCGCCGGCTAAAAAGGCGCAGCGGTAGCTGTTCCTTGTAAGCACCGGGTTGGTTGGCAGGTGGCGAGTGGTGACCAGCGATGGGGTCGAGTGCGATTTTGGTGATGACGTGCGCCAAGAACTACAAAACGTTGCTTGGTTGAGTGTGCCCCGCAATTGAAAAACCTTGACTTACTCCTCCGCGTGCAACGTGACAGTTACGTTAATGGAGAAGCGACCCGAAGATAACTTCACTCAATTGACAGCACCAGGGGTACATCAGGCTTACAGCTGAACGAGCTGCCCGAAGCCACCTGCGAATGCACAATCTCACGCCCGAAGCGGCTTTAGTGTTATCACGCCCGGTGCAAAAAATTAATTATATCACGTCCGTTTTCTATTTTTTCCTCATCCCGACGCCATAATCCCAAGGGGGTAGTAACGATGCCCTGGCTCGCACAATTCCGGTGTACTGCTTTGGTCGCCTAGATTTTGGCCCTGTTCTGTTGGAAGGTTTTGTTGAAGGGGGGGGGCGTCTCGTGTAGTGTTTTGTCTCTGCTTCTTGTGGCGACGGATTTCTGGTAGCGGGCGTGTGCCAGAACAGCAAACTCTTTTTCTGTTTCTTCTGGGTGTTTTAGCCTTTCGCGTCCGACGTTCGACTCGCTGTGCCCCTCCTCTTTCTGTCGTCGTCCACTGTTCCTTCCTTTCCTACCTCCAGTCTTCGGTGTTTACCCACGGGCAGACTCGCCGTTGAGGTCATCAAGACAAACCCCTCTCGGTGCAAGCGTAGGCCCCCTAGTGCGGCCGCGGAGAATGCCGGGTAAGCCGGGGGGGCAGGGGTGCAGCCGAAGGCAACGACGACGGCAATAATGCCCCCCGCGCCTTCGGCGGCGGCGAGGTGGAGAGCTCAGTGCCATCCAGTCCTGGCTTCACGAGAGGCGTCAGGTGTTTGGTGAAGCTACCGGAGCGGACTAGGGCGTGTCCGTCGGCCGAGACACGCGAGGAGGAGCGCCAGTAGGAGCAACGGTCAATGTCCTGCCGCAAGCACCAGGAGGAGGAGGAGGAGGGGGAGGATTGCGCCGGTGATGCCATGGACGAGGAGGAACGGGACCCGCCGGCCGCCGGCGGTGGTGCGACAAACAGTGCTCCGGCGGCAGGGTACAGGCTGCCTCTCTGACGGCCGCGGCGGCAGCAGCAGGGGCAGCAACGACAGCCGAAAGAGTCGGTGAAGATATGCTTGGTGTTTTTGCTGGTGGTGCCAGAGCTGCCACGGTCGGCGGCGACGGTGGTCCGGCTCCTGCCGACGAAGTTGGGACGGCGGCCGCTGTTGTTTTGGCGGCTGCTCGTAGAATCTGCACAAAATACTATCATGGGCCGTGACTGTCCGGTGGTCGCGGCGCTAGGGGTATGAGGGCCATAAACAGGAATTGAAGTATCGGACGCTTCCCTGTTTGCCCTCTAGAGGATTCGAAGAGGCGGCGGTTATGCCGCATCTACGAAGAAGATGAGACAACTTCAACATGTTTCTCCGTGGCACGTTTTCGCGAACGATGCTACCCACCCGGTGTTTACTGAACACCCCCCATGTGGACGGAAGTTAATGCAGCCTGTTAAAGTGCACGTCATCACCCGTTAACATGTCTATCACATGCCTTACTAAGTCATGCTAACATGTGTTAACGAGTGGATACCGTATGATCTGAGATGTACATGTTCCTGGTGATCATCATTCGCACGATGGTGGTCAGCAAGCTGCCACACTACTTGCTTGATACCGCATGAGAAATGGATACCATCCATGAGAGACAACGAAGACAGGTAAGCTCAACCCACCTGCATCACCCTGATTCCCAGCCCCCGAGGAAACGGTCTACGCACGAACTTTACTCAGCTACGAAGGTCTACGCACATACCGTACTCACCTACGAAGATGAGAGATAGATGTATGAGCGTTATGTATGAGCATCTATTTAGCTGTTTTTTAACACTGCATCACCGAGGTAAGCCAGTTTTCTTAAGATCCCCGCACAACGTTCATCTTGGCTCGTGTATTCATAGTTCCAGAGGTGATGCTGTCAAAATCCGTTCAGGCGATCAAGCGAGGTCTTTTCACTCCGTCTTGTTTCTGGATACCAGTTCGTTGGACCCCGCGTATTCACAGCGCAGGCCATAGGTGCTCTTTCTCTCTGGCATGCTCTCGCGCAAAGTAGTGGAAAGCGCTTCGAACCCTGTGTCCGACCGACGACTATTGATCTACCCGCTAAACAATGCGCGAGCAGCCTCATATGACTCCCACGTTCATGGTATGTGCTAACCTTAGATGGTTTGGTTGGCAATCACTGGTTTTGTTTCGGTGTCGCTGCGAATGCAATGCGAATACATGCAGAGGAACCTGCCGGTACTTTCGTCTCCGGCAAGCCCAGACGTTGCCGGCGGCATGCCGGCACCGGTGAGACAACCTCATGTTCATTTTTGTTTTTGTCGCCATGTATGACAGGACTGGTCCCTGGTCTTTCGTGCCGCTCCCCCAAGACCATTTTTCCTGTTGTATTATTGCTTTGGCCGAAGATAATTCAATGCGAGTATTGGATGTGTGGATGAGGCCTCCAGTTCCGGCCTGTGGTCCCAGCCATACTTTCCTTCTCGTGTTTTCTCCTTGGCCGCTGGCCTTGAGCCTTGGTTGAGTCACCTACTTTCGTGAAATCTGCCATGTTGCAGCTAGCTGCCTCCGGAGGATTTCCACCGTAGAATTTAGAACGCGTCACTGTCCGTGCGCGAAATGTACTCGTGGCTCTTGTTGCTCTACGCCTCTCTGCCATTCAATCCAGGTACTGCGTTGTGAGTGAGATGTATATTTCTTCATTGTTTCGCGAGTGAGTGGTGACGATGTGATTTTCAGGGTCGCTGCCAGTAGTCTACATGCCGCTTAGCCCCCTCTTTTCGGTTGGTCGCCTGTTTACGGGACTGGATCCATTTTCAATACTGCGGAATTACCCGCAGTACAGAGGTAGTGGAGATATGTCCTGAAATGAAACATGTTTGAATGATCGAGACGACACCAGAGTGAAAGCATTACAGCCATTTATAGTGGATCTCAAACATGATGGCACAAATTCGTGCCGGCGTCGTCTATTGTCAATCGTCATTCATTCCCAACGAAAATTTTCACTCTGTCAAGCGCCCGACGCTTATCGGTGGTCGTGGTTTATATTTTTACGGCCCTCGTGGTTTGTGGACGACGAAAGTTTTACTGCCCGCCGCCGCCGAGTGGACGTGGATTTTTCCAGGGCCAAGGAGAGGTGCGTCGCCGTTGGCGACAGGCACACCCTACGCTCAGGCGACGGCACCATGTAGCATTGGTTGAAGATCACTTCACGTCGTATCATGCACGAGTGAACCTCGTGGTGACGGTTGATTCAAAACGAGCATAGTTCACACGCGAAACGTTGGGCAAGAGTCGAAATCTGGTGACTTGGCGCTTTATTGCTTTCCCCACACCGGGTAGGCGCGTACAGGCGATGGTCGACGCCAATAATTGTGCAATGTGATTGATGTTCATTCTGATTGCTTGCTTCTCATTCATACGAAGCAGCAATCGATGATGATCGTGGTATGGATACGTAGCGTGTCTTGATTTCGTCCCAACGAACAGATTAGTTCAGCGGAGAGAGAGAGAGAGCGAGAGAGAGAGATACACGTCGAGGGCGACAGCGACAGACGTCCCGTTGTCCCGTTGCTGAGGACAGTAGTGGCGCGGCATTCGTTGCGGTGCGCACGGACGACGTGCTCCTCAGGAGGCAATGCAGCCATGAACCAAGCAAGGTGGTTCACGACCCAGCATTGCTGTTGCTATGTCAAGAGTACTGCCCTACAGCCGAGGGTCTGACGTGAACTTGGGTGCGTATTCAGCAAATTCCCTGGGTGACTTGATCACTGGATGCAAACGAAAGAGATGCGCTTGGCAGGCTCACACCCCGAGATTAGCCAAATATTGAAATGTGCGGTGCGACTGCGGTTAGACCAGTGCGTGAGGTCGCTGTCCCCTCGGTCGCTGGGGCGTTCAAGAAGCCTGTCGGTGGTACCGGAGCCTACAGTAGCTCAGGTTTAGCGGTCTGGGGAGTGAGTCATTTGGTAGAACGGATGTAAACTGCAGACAATGTTATGTACAGACAGCTTGACAAGTAGGCCTACTTATTCGCCCCATCACAATCACAACCAAGTCACCGAATTTAACTTACTGACCCTTACGATCACGTTCTACACCCACAACAAACTGCTTGAAGACGATGTCCAAAGCTCAGCAGAAGACCCCCCCTCGCTTCACTTCTTGCCGGTCACCCCTCTCCCTCTTCCCTCGATCGGCGGCCCGAAAACAAAATCAGAGATAGGTCACAATCTTGCGGAAAACGAGCTCATCCGCGGTGTCGATCATGGTTGTTACGTTCCAGTGGAACCTTCTTAGGCTCGGGTGGACACGAACAGCGGAGTAATCCCGGTCTGTTGTCCCTTCCCCCGCCCCGATAGACAGCTTCCTGCGAGAAACGGAGGGCGGCGCACAGACCACCCCCATCACACCATCGCCGGGCTGGCTATTGTTCTGGGCTTCCCGGGCGTTACCTCCCTCGCCTTGCTCCTCCTTTGACTGTTGCGGATGCACAATTTGTTCCTGCAGGATTGGGAAGAGATACATCGCGCGGGCCGTGAGACAAAACCAAGCGTTGCTGAAAAACCCCGTCGACCTCGACAGCCTGGCACGGGTGTATAACCCAGCGAGGGTCGCGTCTGTCTCCGTTTGACAATTGCCAACTTTCTGGTCCATCACGGAAGGCGTTCGCATCAGTTGGACCAGTACTATACAGACACTAGAAGGTCTGAGCGGAGACCGTAACGGTTTTTAGATGTGAAGACAACAACAACAACAACAACAACAACAACAACAATCACGGCTACCGACACGGGAAGCTATCCCATGCCAATGACCAACACACGAAGACACAAAATGAAAAAACGAACACGATCAGCAAACGTGTCCAGAAAAAAAACGAAGCTACATGTCCATGGTTCACTACACGGATTACCGCTTCCGACTCCCGGTGTCTCCGCGCTCTCAGCATCGCCAGCCACCCTCGCCGTCGCCACACCCGGTCTGCGGGGGCTCTTGCCAACATCTGGACGTGCGGTGTCAAGGGGGGGGATGCAGGAAGGCGGCCGGGTGTAGGTAAACTGGTTGTGTTGAAACCGGGGGTGCTAAGGTCGTCCATCGCTAATGCACCCCACTTGAGGGAGGGTCTGATTAACGTAAAACGCGCTAGCCTAAAAAATCAGGGTGTATTATTTCTCTTCTTACCATACACCAACATTATTCTCCTTTCACCATGAACTACTATGGTTTACCTTTAATCATAAACCATCATTTTACCCTTAACACCTACCACCCACTATTGGTTATACACCCCGAATCACTGCAAGTGCTGTGGAAGCACGTCTTCGCCTGGGTCCGTCCGAGCGGGGGTCTGCTCCTCAAGCACGGCGCTTGCAACAGTACAATCGCGCCACCGTCTCTACTTCTACCGTACCGCGCAAGACAGATTGACGCAGCGTCGGCGTGCACCTCGTAGATCCATTCGACGACCTCCTCGTCCCGCTTGTCCCCCGCGACCGCGTGCCCCACGACGTCATCGGGGAACGCCAGATCCTCGTTACGAAACACCTCGTCGGCGTTGTGTCGCAGCAGGGTCCTCACGCAGGCCGGCTGAAGGTGCATGCAGGCCAGGTGCAGGGGCGTATCCATCTCCTGGTTCGCCTCGTCTACATCAGCCCCGGCGTCGATCAGCACGTCGAGAGCCTGAGCGTCATTCGGGGTCCGGGACGAACGAATAGGTTCCGTTGGGGATAGGGATCGGGCCAGCACAGGTTTGAGTCGGCGCGACAACCGTCCTTTCCTTCGATATCAATACGGCAGTAGGACTTTACACCACCTCATGCCGCCGAGGAAACCTGGGGAGTTCAAGGTTTCTGAGCCCTTTTCGTGTATCGGTCTCGTCGTTGTTCTTCTTGCAATGCACTGATTCTACATCCAACCAGCAACCAGCGACGCTCCCGCGAACGGAGAATTGATGGAATTTTCGTTGGGGTTCGACATCTGCGATTAAAAGGTTCCAAGAACCGGTAGGGTCTACGCCGGCTGACCAAGCGTGGCTGCTGCATACAGCGTTCGGCGCAATCTCAAAGAGTTGATTTACGCGTACTTATGCACAGGAACAGAGCCCTGTTAGCAGTCAGCGGCGACCCCAGGACGGGCGACAAGACCGATGACGTCGGGGTGTTTCACGCCAAGCTTCGGGGGGGGGGGGGCACATTGCTTCATTTGTGACACGGTCCTCAGCCCGTTGTCTAGTACCGGACATGTACCCCCTGCTCCTCTCAGTATTGGCACGCCTGACGACAAAACTGGGCACAATTCACTCACCAAACCTCCCAATATTGTCCACCACCCTCTGGAAATTCCAAGGCTACAAACACCGAGCTACGGCAAAATCGCTGTCGCCGACAGTGAATCAGTCCGATTAGCAGGGGTGTGCATCCCGCCGACACGAGCAACGAACATCAAGCACCGAGACTTTTGTGGGCTGGTCTGATTTGCAGGACATCGGTAGCCTAGCGCTCCTCAAAGCGGGACGTCTGGATTGTGCCGCCTCCTGCAATTGTATGAAACGGATGCTGTGGCGCGGAACGTAATCCTGTCGAATTTCACCCTGACTCCCCCCTGGCCCCCAGCGAAAAACAAACGACTTCTGCGCTGATCGCTACCGCAGGTTGCGTGAGATATCACTCCCCCTGGACCGATTCTCAAAGCTCGATTACTCCACGACGAGGAGGATGCCGAAATTGAAGAATACGTTTTTCGGAAAGCTATCTCTCGATGAGATGGTTCCAGCGCCGTCATCTTCGGCACCGTCACCGCTTTTCCTGCCGAGGTACTCGTATCGAGCTTCGAAGATCGGTCCAGGGGGTGTGATATCTTACATCATGCAACCTACGGTAACGAACGGTTCTATTGTCCTCGGCGTAACCCTTCCCTCCTTCCCACGACGCAACGGACCAACACAGTACAGCCTGTTTTCTAGCCGTCGGCGAATCTTTTCACTCACCTTGGCGTGCCCCTTCCGTGCCGCGATGCCCAGCGCCGACACCCCTCTGTCGTCGAGGGCGTCCACGTGGGGGCGGGCGGCGAGAATTTCCAGCAGCACATCGGTTGTGCCGCGCTCCACCGCCAAATCCACGGCGGACATGTCGTCCGGCTGCCCGTCGCGTTTGTTTGTTTCGAGGAGCAGAGACGTCGGGGACGTCAGAGGGGGGGGGGGGGGGGGGACCCCTTTGTTGTTTGCCTTAATCATTTGACCCTTGACCAGGGGGGGGGGGGGGGGAACCCAAATCCGGGGGGGCCGAAACCTTAAAACCTTTGACCCCCCCCCCCCAAAAAGCGGGGGGGGAAATGGGGGGGTTTTCCCGGAAAAGGGGTTTCCATTCCCAAAAGGGAAAAACCCGGGGGGTTTTCGGGGAGCCCAAAAAGGGGGGGGGGGCCCC